TACATATTAAGAACTAAAAAAGTAGTACAAAAATGTTTATATTTAACAGAAAAGAAAAGAAAAAATTAAAAAGTTGATTTGATTAAGCATCATATTGTTAATAATGACACTCTCCAGAAATTCAACCATGAAGGAAGTCTTGATATATAAGCAAGCATTGAAGAAATAATTTGCTTTCTATTAGAGCAGTGGGTGCAACAACTTCGTAAGGGTTGAACTAAGTTTTTGCCCAGGGATCTGACCATTTTGCTAAATCAAAACCTAATCCGCCAACCTCAAACAACCTTTTCTTTCCTAGTAATTTCCACTATAAAAAGAGCTCTTCTTCATCTCACTTCCCTCACAAGTTCTAATCTCATTTTCCACGTTAATTAACCAATTCAATATCTTTCAAACAAAATTTACCAAGGGAAGCTTGTGAAGAATAATGGCCTCTACTCGGTTCTTCGCTTTACTCTGGCTTCTCTTTGCTTCAGCATTGTTGTCCTTGGTCAATGCCGGCGGCAAAACTCACCACCATGATTTTGTAGTAAGTACTATTAATTCTCTCTCTCTCTCTCTCTTCTTTTTCTCTTTTAGAATCGTGTAATATAATTCTCGTCATTTTTTTTGACTCACTTCTTTTCTGCATGTGTATTAATTGATTTCCGTTTTGGAATATGTAATGGAATAATATTATATATATAGATTCAAGCGACACCAGTGAAGAGGCTGTGCAAAACCCACAACAGCATCACAGTCAACGGACAATTCCCTGGCCCAACCTTGGAAGTAAATAACGGAGACACTCTAGTCATCAAAATCACAAACAAAGCTCGTTACAATGTCACCATTCACTGGTAATTAAATTGCATGATCATGCATGCGTACCATGCACACACATAATATATATATATGTTACGTGTATATCTATATATTAAAAGACATATATAGCGTGTATGTATATATTTGCATGGGGCATGCAAGCATGCTCCCATGTAAATGGATGTATATATTTGCTTTTTTATTGTTTTCTTAACAAGAAAAAGAAATATATATATATATTCCAGGCATGGGATTAGGCAACTCAGGAGTGGATGGGCGGATGGGCCTGAGTTTGTGACTCAATGCCCAATTAGGCCGGGAGGGAGCTACACCTACCGCTTCACAATTGAAGGCCAGGAAGGAACACTGTGGTGGCACGCCCACAGTTCATGGCTCAGAGCAACTGTCTATGGAGCTCTCATTATTCGTCCTAGAGAAGGAGAATCCTACCCTTTCCAAAAACCTAAGCGTGAAACACCGATTCTTCTTGGTACGTGCATATATGATAATCATTAATCACTTAAATCAACAATATTATCCTTATTAAACTACTCTAGCTTCCTTAATTAATTAATTTTCTGTCCCATTTGGCGATTACAATTAATTATCAGGTGAATGGTGGGATGCGAACCCCATTGATGTTGTGAGACAAGCAACTCGAACGGGAGCAGCTCCAAATAATTCCAATGCTTTTACCATCAACGGTCAACCTGGCGACCTTTACAACTGTTCTAGCAAAGGTTTTCTTACTACTTTTTTTTTTTTTTTTT